CCGCACCTTCGGGGGCGGCGCGCGCCCCGCGCCCCACGTCCACACGTGGACTGAGCCACCGCGACACTGTGACACGCAGACCCACCGGGGGAGTCCCCGAGCACACACGCGGGCGAGTCATCCACCTGCACACTCACTCTTACACGCATGACCCTCAGACTCGCGTCCAAAGTGCCTCGCAGAGTGACACGCTTGGATGCACACGCACTAGTTCCTGGACAGAGGCTCAGAGACCCACTCAGAGACAAACTCAGAAGCACTTTTAGGTAAAAACTCTCGCCTCTTCCCCACCCCCATGACTGGGCATGAAGGGGGCACCAGAGTTTCCGGCCGGAAGCCTTACAGTGCAATGGTCAAGAAGACAGGCTATGGGACCAGACAGATAAGCATTTAAATCTCGGCTGTGTGGCTTTGGACAAGTTTCTTAACCTCTCTGAGCCTTGACTTCCATGTCCGTAAAACAGGGATAACAGTATTTATGTCCCAGGGCTGTTCTGAGAATTATACTCAAGGACCCAGGTAAAGCACCCAGCGTGCTGCCAGGCACACAGCCAGGTGGCTGGTAACCGGTAGCTGTTCTCGGATGATGGTGATTTATGCTCCCCACTTTTCTCTCCCTTAACTTTCCCCACCTCCAGTTCCATTCTCAGGGGTAGAGATCTCATCCTGGGAAAGCTGTCGGGGGAGAGGCCAGGGACATGGAGGTCTTTTCAGGGATTTACCTACCATTCAGGCCCCATGAGCACCCGGCCAGCAGATAAGAAGGAAGCAGATGAGAGGTCTGCAGCTCCTGGGGGTTGGCTCTCAAGTGTGGGCGCCCACTGGGGACAAGTCCTGACTCTGCCTCTGACTTCCAGCAGGGCACAGACCATTGCTCAGGGCCTTCTGACTGCACTCCCAGCTCCTGTGCTCATCAGGGAAGAGTTGGATCCATGCCTGGAGGTTCATAGAATGATAAAGGCTATTTGGGGGAGTGCATGCCATGTGCCAGACCCTGCTTTAGGCGCTTTATAAACTTGCTCTACTTTAAGCATCGCACAGCCCTGCAGGAAGGTGCAGCTAAGGAAACGAAAGCGCAGAAAGGCTATCATTTGCCTTAGATCACACAGCTGGTTGAATGCAGAGAAATGCTCAGACAGAGATCCGCTGGACTCTAAAGCTCACTCTCTCCTGTGCGTCTTTGTTACAGAAGCGGGGGAGGGCAGCTCAAATTAGGAGCCCTTTCCCAACAGCTCGGGTAAACTGCCTCAAAGACGTAGTAAGCCCCCTGTTACCAGAAGCATTCAAGGAGACACCAGCTAGAGGTTGGTCAAGGATGCAGTGAAGGGGTTGGAGGGGGGCGGGGTAAGGGGAACAGACCCAGAGAGGCAAATGCAAATGCCCACAGGAGACAGGCAGGCACCCTGATGAAACCTACTGGAGGAGTGTTCCCAGCTCCAGCCAACATTGCCGTGGGGATGAAAGCTCAAATTTCTGTGTTTTAAAGAGAAGCTGTATATCTGGAATTTTTATGTGGTGGCTCTAAACATCTAAAGTTGGCAGCAAATGCAAACATTTTAATAACACCACAGTGTGAGCAAACCTGTGGGTGGAGTGGCCACAGCCCACAGGATTTCGGGGCTCCTCAGATGGAAGGGTCCATGGCTGGCACCTTGCTCCTGGGGTGCTGCGGGCATGGGCAAGTCAGGGCCAAAGAATGCAGAGTACAGGATGCAGTCAGAGCACTCATGGGCTGCCCCTGTCCCAGCCAGGGCTCCCAGAAATATGTGTTGATGAGGGAGGCTTTCTGCGTGGGGCTGGGGTTCTGTATCCCCAGGTTGAGGTAGAGCCAACCAAACCTGGAGTTCACCCATTTTGTAGATGAGGAAACTGAAGCTAGTGAGCTTGAAGGGCGGTTCTCTTCAGGGGTCCGCTCCATATTTGAATCCTCTTTGGCAAAATAAGAATGTCATTTCACCAAACTTTCCGCGGGATGAGGACAGCTTGCTTTTGGGTGGCTTCCTGTGCCCTCTGAAGCTCCCAGGATGCCCCAGTCCAGATGTCTCCTCTCCCTGGAGTCTCTCCTCCCACTCCTGCCCTTCTGCCTGTCCTGTGTTTCAAAGCGGCAACTTGCCAATCCACCAACGGGAGGGAAGATGCTCCTGGAGCAGTGGGCGAGTCACCCGGACCTTGGGGGAGGTGGTGCCTCCCCTCGTCTCCTGAGTGGTCCAGCAGCAGGGAAGCTGGGCGGGGCATTGGCGGGAAGAGGTGAGGCTTCTCCAGCTTCACCTTCAGCGCTGGACTCTCCATGCCTTTCTCTCACTGAATCCCTGCAGTGTAGGGCTTTCACCCCATTTTAAAGACACAGAGAGTGAGATTCGTAAGGATCGACTGATGGAATGGGAAGCTCTGTGGGGTGCAGACTGGGGACCATGATGGCTGTGGTTAGTTTGTCTCCTCTCCTCTCCTCTCCTCTCCCTAACTGCATTCTTAGCCTCTTAAGCATAAAGTCCATGGCAGGGGCCCAGCTGGGCCATGCTGGGTCTTCCTGGCATCCAGTAGGTGCCCAGGGAATGTTTGCTGAATGACTGAGCAAACGAATGACTGAGCAGATATCCAAGAGGCCCATGCCCTGCTGGCCAAGTGCTTGAGGCCATCATTGCTGGTCGGCCCTTTCTGGGTTATGGGACGGTTTCATGTCTGGATTGCCACACAGGTGTGCCAGCCGGACCTGCTAAGTGGCCTTGACCTTCCTTCTTCAAGGCACTGAACAGAGCTCAGTTTCTCCCATCAGCACATTGGCACGCGGGGACCTTGCTGTATGGAACAGGCGAGGTGAGGGTGGGGTGGGCAGAGCTGGACTGGCAGCCTCTGAGCCAGTCCTTCCCCCACCTCAGGGCCCCTCCCTTGAGTGGGAAGGGAAATAACAGGGAACATCAGGTGAGTCCCTATTACATGTGGACCCTCCCAGGAGTCTCTCTTCTCACTTGACCTTGCTGAGCCTCGGTTTCCCCAACTATAAAAAGGAAGATATGCCACCAACTCAAAGAGTTACTGTGAGGCTCACGCGAGTTCACAGGTGCAAACGTGCTTGGGAACCTGGGACGAGATCAAAGATTGGAAGGCGTTGCTGTATTTTGAAGGAAGGGTCTGGGCAGCTCTGCACTGCAAAGGATGAACTATGCAGGGCGCCACTTCTGGCACAGGTAGAAGAGACATTCTAGCAGGAGATGGGTGTATGTGTGAGTGTGCGGGGTGGGGACAGTGGTTAATGGTGAAATCCACTCATCCTTGAGCTGCCCTGGACACCTCATGGCCCTAAGCTGTCCCACTCGGCACAGCCAAGACTCCTGCATAGAAGCCCCCACCCCCAGCTCCTTCTCGCCCTCCGCTTGGTTCACTCTGTGAGGGGACTGCAGGGGGTGGGTATGCCTCACATTTGTATAGAAACCTCTCCACCCCAGCCGGAGATGTTTGGAGATCTTAGGAAGAGCCAGTCTCCTAACATGAGGCCTATGCGGCTTCCTCGCTTGGGGCCTCAGTTTTCCCATGCGTAATGGGCCTCTTCCACCTGTTTGCCCACATTGTAATGGGTAGGAAGGGAGCATGGTGCTGGTGCTCCCCTGGGCTGGTGCTGGGGTTCCCAGGTAGTAAGATACGACCCTACCCGTAAAGTGCTCCCAGGCAGCACCCCCGAAATGCATAAGAAAGTAGCTTACATTACGCAGAAGAGATTCTCTTGGATCACGGAGACCGTGCTAAAACCATGTACTTGACCTCTAGAGCCAGAGCAGGTGTATCCAAGGCAGCCCTGCACGATAGGAGTATAGTGGATGCCACCTACGAAATCCAATTTTTTTCTGGTAGCTACATTAAAAAAGTAGAAAGAAATGAGTGGAATTAAATGTAGTAATATATTTGTTGAGCGACTGTTGCCTGGCACGTAATATTAATTTATTAATCAATTCACTGATTCAACACCTCTGCATTGAGCCCGCCCGTGGTGTGGTGCCAAGTGCCGGGAATGAGATGATGGGCCACACGGGTGCCGGCCTGGTCTCAGAGCTCGTCTAACGGGGAAGCGGATCATTAAACAGGCAATGACAGAACCCCCTTCCACATAAGGGAATATCTCGGAAACTGCAAGCACCAAAACTTGAAATAAAATTTACAATTTAAACTATATTTTTTTACAGTCCTCTTGAAGCAGAAAATGCCAAATGTAATTTAGCTTAGTGGCTTGTAGTCATCGCTGGGAAAAAAGAATCATTGAATCTTGATGTGGAAAAGGACCTGGAGATGAGTCAGTTCCAGCCACTGCCTGCGGGACAGTATGAGACAGAGGTGCCCTGAGGACTGTAGAAGTGGGTGGACCTATTCACCCTTGTTGACTAGAGGACTTTGGGCTTCTCTGCCTTAACAGTATTCCTGTCTCTCCCCTTGTGCTCAGGCCGCCAGCTACTTCCTCTCTACTGCACAGCTCCCTCCGCTGACAATTCCCAACTTCCTCCTAAGGTGCTGCTTCTAATCTATTGCGGACTGGAAAAAATAAATGCTTATCAGAGTTGTATGTAAAGTAAGAGTCGGTGGGTTCTAAGTGAGAGACATCCCCGGGAGTAAAGAATGTGAGTTTAGTGTCAATGATCGTGGCTGTTCAGAGGTCTCGGGATAGTTGTTCTCAGGTTGGAGGGTAAGTGAGGTGTTGTTAAAAATACATAAGAGGCTCATTAATGGCCGGGCATGCACAGACTAATTGCTTCCTCCTGTTTACATATAATCAATCACTTCCACAGCTCGGAACCATGGCAAGCAGCAGAGTGGAGTGGGCACATGACTACATGGGATGGGCCTCAGAGGTCCGGCTGCCCCCTCATCCTTCTTGCTCAAGTCTTTCCTGTCCTGAAAAAAACAAACAAACCATCTCTTCATCCCTCACTCTCCTTGCCTACTTCCCTCTCCCCTTCTCCTCCCCTCCCCAGCAAGCTTCTTGAAGGAATCGTCTGTTCTTGTGGACTCCATCTTTCTCTCTCAACCTCTCCTCATCCATTATCACCTCCACCATCTCTCAAACACCACCTGCCCCAGACCCCACTCTATGATTCTCTGTCCCACGCCTGGTCCTCGTTCAACACCACCATCCACTGAGCTGTCTAAGTCGGGAACCTGAACTTTGTCTCTGTTCCCCCTTCTCCATGAGCTGTGTATCTGGGACATCCCAAGTCCTTTGATTTTACCACCCAAAAGTATCTTGAATCCATCCACTCCTCACCGCAGCCACCAGTCCAGTCTGAGTCCCCACCACCTCTCACCGGGGCAACTGCTCTGGCCACTTCGCCGGCCTCCATGCACACTCTCTGGTCCCCTTCCGTCACACACCACACTGTAGCCAGAAAGACCATTTAGTGCAAAAGATTGTGGTCAGCCCCTGCCCTGTGCCCTCCCTCCCCCGATATTCAGAGCCTTCTTCTGCTCTCTCTGGATAAAGATCCAAATCCTTGTCATGCCACGAGGCCCTGTCCAGGTGGTCGGGACCCAGTCATCACCTTCTCCATTTTGCATTCTTGGCTCAGCTGGAAACCCCACCTGCACATGTGTGATTCCTAGACTCACACCTAGATCACACCTTCCTATGAAAGCAGGGACCGCGTCTGCTCTTGCTGGGCACCAAATCCTCAACCTCGGCATGTGGGTGGCCCTCCATAAGCACTTCTGCCTTGGCCCTGGCTCCCTCTGAGGTCTGGCCCAGATGGAACCAAGGCTAGATTCTCTTTGCCACAACCTGCCTGTGCGACTCTAGGCAAGTCTCGTCACTTCTCCGAGACACTGCTCAGTGTGCTCAGTGCGGGGAAAGGCCTCCAGGGCTTTCAACATCTAGGATAATATGGCTAAATATCCACTATTCTTATTAATCTTAATAACAGCCCTTTGAAGTGAGTTCTATCATTATCCACGCTTTGTAAATGAAGAGCATCAGGTGGGGGTGGGGCGACGTGATTTGTCCAAGATGCCACAGCTACTGAAGTGACTGGCACGGGATTCAAACTCAGACCCGTGGTTCCAGAGCCCACAGGCATGGTCACGGGGCGGCTGGGATCAGGGAGAGTGCTGAGCGCTCAGATGAGTGGAAGGTCTGGGGGTCTGGGTCGGTCAGCGGTGAGGGAGGAAGCAGGGGTCACGGAGGGTTGTGATTTGTGGGTTAGTGGTGAGTGAGCTGACCCTTCCGTGAGCCCCTCAGACTTCTGGGGGCAGGGAGGTGAAGGAGCTCAAGGTCAAGGAGAGGCTGCAGCTGAGCAACCACAGGGGATGGGGCAGGGAGGTTCCGCCAAGTCTAGGGTCTCCAGGGACTCACCTGGCCCCTGGCTGGATTATTGGGCCAGAGCTGGGCTTGACCTCTCCGCTTGACCAGGGTAGAGTTGGGGGTGGGGCCGGTTACAGCAGGGCCCTCCCTCTGGAGTGTCAGGGTGACTGGACTTCCAGCGGTTGGGGAAAAGTTGCTAGATTTTGGGGGAGACAGCAAAGAGCAAAGGCTCTGGAGTCAGATCTGGTTCAAATCCCAGGCCTAACCCTTCCTGTGTGCTGGGTGACTTTAGGAGGTGACTTTATCTCTCTGAGCCTCAGATCCTGATCTATAAAATGGAGACACCTCCACTTGCTCTTTAGGATTGTGACCATTAGAAGGGTGCCTAATACATAGTAGGTCCTCGTGTGTCACAACCCTGTGTCCACCTCTCCCCGCCTAGCCCCAAAACCTTCCTCGGGGAGCAGGAGGGATCAGGCTGTGGCTCGTTATCACAAAGAGAAGCGTTAATATCCCAGATATTAAAAAATAACCTTATCGTCATTCTGCCTTGTCGGGAGGAGATGAGCCCACATCAGCATTCTGACAGATGGGGAGCAGCTCTCTGTGTTTGCAGGAGAGAGACAGACAGACAGAGAAAGAAGGAGGGAGGGCGGGATACACAGAGACACACACACACACACACACAGAGAGAGAGAGAGAGAGAGAGAGAGAGAGAGAGAGACTGTGTGTGTGTGTGTGTGTGCACGTGCACGTGTATAAGAGAGAGTGTGTCAGGGCGACAGTACTTGCTGGGGGGCTGGGGTTGCCTGGGTGTGAGGGTGCGGGTGGGTATGTGGGTGGTGATGGCACCTTTCCAGAGCAGGGGAATACTTTTAGGAGTGTGACTTGGTAATACTCAATATTGGATGTATTGAAATGCTAAGCAGCTCTACAGATCTGTGTCTGATTTTCATTAAAACTGCGGAGGCAGAGGATGTGACGGGAGGGGCAGTGAGTGGCTCCTTCACTG